TGAGAGGAGCGAGCAGGAGGGGGAGGGGGAGGGGGAGGGGAAGAGTTCGGGGAAGCGGTTTTATGCAAGCGCCTCAACTGGAGCTCGTAGTGAAACGTTCGGCTTTCCACATCTGGGTACCGGGCTTCAAACTCCGGTCGCACATGTGCAATTTGGGGTGGCAAAAAGGGCTTGCGGTAGGTTCCTCGCAACAAGCCCGTTTTCCCTGCTTCTCATTTTACCACTGTTTCATATCACTCGTCCCACATCACTATAAAATGCGTCATCCGCCATCTCAAGGACGAGCTGATATTCGGTGATTGATGCTATAGTATCAAGAGGGACAGCTGAGCGATGATAGTAAGATAATCAATTGCGCATTTCTGGCCATTGTTGTATTTTAATAACGTGCAAATTGTTTTACGAATAATTGCCTCATTGCAATGACAAATTATTTTACAGAAACACTACATTAATTCCAAAATGTTTGACCACACATAAGTTAATGGGACAGATCGAACTGAACCCAGAAGTATTGTCTGGAAATATTGAAGAATTGTCTTTTATAGCACGATACTGGTGAATCGCAGACAGCAGCTGTGGCGTAAACAATTAGGTAACAATTGTGAGATCGACGAGTTACCCTCGCACATTTTACAGCGGTGAAGTTAGCAATTGTTCGCCTTATTTAAGAAATGCGATTGGTAAAAATAATCAATATTAAGAACTAAAACAACACAGAAATCAGGGTTTTTAACTACATTGGGAAAGGGTTTGTAATAGAATTAGATTTTTATTGAAAAGTTCTCCTTCATTAAGATTATTGGCGAAGTATATTATTATTTCATGAATTCAATAGAATAGTATTACTTGACTATATAGCATGATTTGCACTATATTAATCAACCATATATTTCAATGATTAAAATATGAAGGGGAAAATATGGTTACTGATCAATTGAGATAAAAGTGCATTAACAATGGAATGAAATTTATATTTGTTATTTTACATTTGTTAAAAATTTATATTTTTTGGTTTGAAATTTATATTGTATTTCCTTTTGTTAACAAGTGAATGATTAAATTTTACTTTGAAATAGATAAATTAATATTATGATTGCATTTCATCATATTATCTTTTTTAAGTTAATTCGCGAAATGTGTTTATGTATAACAGTGGATACACAAATCATTTTCGCTTATGCGTTCTTTGTGTAATTTTTTGGGTGGGTGGCTGAAGGCTTCTGTCTTCCTCTCAATACCCCTTTTGAATGCTTCTGCGTACGGAGATCATAATCCTCTTAGGGACTTGACCCTTTGTGCAAAAGGTAAAGTTACGCAACCAAAGCCCAGCCGGAGTTCAGTTTGTAGCAGAGGGCCGGACGGACTATCAGGGCAAAATACAATACTCTTCCTTATGGGTTTAAGATTTCAATATCGGTTTTCGGTAATCACCGATATATTTGGTCTTACAAATTATTAAATTTGTACATTTACGTAAAAACTTGTAATAAACTCGTATTTACAACACACTACTGTCTATATCCGAAAAATCAGTTTATATTTGTAGGAAAGTGTGGTACAAATGTTGGATCAGCCACAGCTTTGTGGTCACGTGATCTCAATGAGGAATTGCGGTATGTTTGAATAGCAATTCCGGAATTTTCATTCACTCGATTTTGTTTTGTAATGTTCTTTGCTCTGCGGTTTGCAGGGCGCCTGAGAAGGAATGAGCGTGCATGTAGAATATTTTGTTATTTTTATGTTGTTCTTGCTATTATTATCGTATATACTATTGTTTACTATAAAATGAAAAGAAGAACAATTGGATTAAATTATCATGAAAACTATTCATTCATCCATACCTCTCGCTGCTCATTAACTTATTTTTTGATATCCCTGTTTTGATCGCAAAAAGAAACAATCTTCGTATATTCTTTTATTTATTTATGTTGGAAATTAAGTTAAATAAGCATTTTTTTAAATTTTCAATTCCAGTAAGTGAAAACACATACATATGTAGGAATTAAGTCATACGTTTCATTTACTGATTTGAAGATCACCTCTGTGATATGAAAAGAAAAAAGTTAATTTAGTTATGGAAATCACGCACTTACCCAACATTCATTGAAAATAAATTTTTTTTTTTTAATATTTCCCTATCAAATTATATGTATTATTTTTTTAATACTGAAGAGGCCTGCAAACCAGCAGACGAAACTTAAAACGTAAACCTTTCTTGTGTTCTTTTCTTACTAGCTGGAATCAAAAATAAAACTTCAAATGAATATTGTACTTTGCAAATAACACTATAACTTCTTAATTAAATTACCTTTAACGATCAATTTAATGGAAAATGTGTTCAAATCCATTTCTACTGAAATAATGGATATTATTACGATATTGCACTGTTATTGATATGTTTAAATCAAATGTTAATATTTTTAAATGAATCTTTATTAATGTATTCGTTTATGTAACTGAGGATGCTAATGACTATGCAGTCATAAAGCCAGCTTCAATAAATAAATTAGCAGATTGGGAGTTCTGTGCGTCAATTTCAAGCGTCCTCATTACAACCCTCTCTCAGCTGTACCATTGCGCTTACCTCTGTCCGAGTCGTAGTAGCCCATCTTGAAGTTCTCGCGGCCCACCTTGCCGTCGGTGAGCTGGCCCAGGCCGCGCCGCAGCTCACCGTCCCAGTGGCCGTCGTAGGCGGCGTCGAAGAACTCCCAGCCCGCGCCGCGCTTGTCGCCCTGCGGCATGGAGTAGCTGACGATGCCGTCTGCGGACAGAGCGAGGACGGCGTCAGCCGCGTCAGCCGCCGGGCTGGAGGATCGCACGAGGCCCCTCGAGCCCGCCCTCATCGCCGCTCCTCCCGCTCTCCCGGCGCCTGGTGGAGCTAGCGGTTGCCTCTTCATTCGGTGAGATGTCGGTCACGCAGCGAAGCGTCAAAGATCGGAACTATTTATTAAATTATATCAAATTACGAGATATATCGATGGTAATTTCATCATCATAGATAATTCTAAGAAAACTTTTGCAAGAAGCTATTCCTACGTTTGTGCGTAATTCAGATCTTGTGACAGCATGCACAAGTTATTTTCGTCGCGCATATGGTAGGACTTTCTGCAGTCATTTGTGATGTTAGTTGTTTGTTTGAATGAAAAGGCGAGAGAAAGGTAGCGACACAAAATGTTTAGTGATTTACACGGACGGAAAATATATTTTTTTAGAACTCAATAACAATTAAATCTAAACCGAGAGTTAGTTGCGGTGTCTCCTGTGAAATAGCTTTTACATGCATTTACAGACAATATACATGCATTTAAAGAATTATTACTCTACTCATTTACAGACAGCCAAAAGTTTGAAAGAACGTCGGTTCAATCAGTCACTCCCAAAGGTAGGGTAAATTGCGTTAGCCGCGTAAAAATCGAAACAAAACAAAACCAATTACGGCTGATCGGACGGCCGATTTTATTTCTAAACGAAGGAATTAATCAAGGATATAAATACTTGAGACACAAAACGTTGCCAGCCAAATGTCTGTTCGGACAATCATAAAACTGACCCAACTAAAATTGTTACTTCGCAAGCGGCAAAGAAAATAAAAATAGGACGTATGATATATATTTTAACGCTCTTTGTTCTAATTTGAGTAAGAAATGTAAACAAAAACATTGAACCGTACTTTTGAAAATGTTGGAAGTGATCTTTGGTATTCCTGGGGGTGAGGCGTCGAGTGTCATAGTGGAGAGGGCGGCGAGGCAGAGGACGGCGGAGTGGGGTGGGGGAGGGGGTATATATTTTCAGTTTCAAATACTAGAGCAAGGTTGAATTAAAACAAAGATCAGTCACGAGAAATCACGAGAAGTTAAAACAGGTAGGAAGAAATACCATTGACAAATGACGAAGCAACACACTCCAAGAATTACTCGTATATGCCATCCTGTATGTTGCCTCAGTATAAAGGTTTTGGAAGCATAGTGAAGTTAATTGAAGGTGTAGAAAAAGAAGAACTTAATACTGGAAGTCGAGGCTTGTTGGATGAGCGTCATGGTGGCCTAGGGACGAGACACCATCGGCGTGGCGGCGGCGATACGGCGGGAGCGACGGGACAGCCGGCAAGCAGGTGAATTGGCGCTTGCTACCACATGAACCAGCAACGATTTCGGAGTGGCAAGCAAGCGACGACGATTGAAGTAAACCGGGGGAGGGGGTCAAGGGACGAGGGCGTGGTCGTGGTCGCCCGAGCGATGGCGGCGTGTGTGCCGTGTGTGGGGCAGGGGCGGGGGCGGGGAGCACTTACCGCTCCAGTAGCAGCCGTAGAGCTCCACGCGCATGCACACGGTGCGCCGGTGGTAGCTGTAGGGAAGGAAGCGCACCTTGCTCGCCCACATGGGCGGGTCCAGCTCCCGCTTCGACTCCAGGTACGTGTTGGTGTTGCCCTGGATCACCTGCAACAGGGGCCAAGCACATACGTTAGAACGCAAGGCATAGACGTAAATACGCTGACTACGTGTTGGTTTCGATATGTGTATCTTCGCATACGTTATATTCTGTATTGTTCGACATGTATATCTTCGCATACGTTTTATTCAGGCCAAAGAATTTAGTGCAAATTTCCCCAAACCAACATCAAACACATCATTGCCTACCACGGGCGGGGTGGGACGGGGTAATAGGTCTTTTACAAATCACAATGAAGACATGGCCGCCAGGAACCTGTAATACGACTTGCGTTTCGAAGCAGCCTGGTTAAACAAAGGTATAATGGTACCAAACCACGCCAAATCGTCATCAAGGAGCTTTTTCTGTTCGTCGGTCAACATGACCGCCCTTTCTGAAAGCAGGAAATTGCTCTACACCTTCGTTGCCACGCGACATGGTCGTGCATTTACCCGCAGATTTCTCGAACAAATATACGTCCTGTACATCGATCTGTTTAAAACGAATCACCGCATCTTCCGGGAAAGAGTTGCCATAGACCTACCCTGCAACAGTGCGATTGACAAGGACACACTAAACTTCTTGTTTTCAACACAGTATATTTCCAAGCCATTCTATTTAATGCCTTAGTCAAGCGCGGATCCACGGGGAAGGAAATGAGGGAAATGCCCCCCTAAAATTGTTCAGTAACTATTAATTACAACTTGTTACGAGACTTTCAAGAAAAATTATTTTCGGTTTATCATTAAAACGAATAAAATCGTATCGCAGCATGAGCTGAGTGTAGCCTACGATATTTTACAAAATCTGTAACATGACATTTCATATTCGACATTTTGAACTTCCCCTCCCAAAATTCGTCACCAGTTCCGCCCCTGCCTAAGTACAAATTGTACTGAAAAATGCTATTATATGCGTTAAACAACAAAAACGGCAAACACTCCTCAGCAGTAATATTTTGTGAAAGAAAAGATGGAAGATGGTTTTGTAATAACGAGCTCACGTGAAAGGCATACTTTTTGCGGTCTAGTGGTGTATGAAAGTAGTTTCGTTTCGGAAAACAAAAGACAATAGAGTACCATTTTAATAGTTTCATGAACTGTCTTAAAATACAAATCATCAGTGAAAGTTACAGCAATAACAAAGTCGATATTTGGAACATTTCATCCATGTCATAAAACGCATATTAAATTTGAAAAGTATGCGATAAATTAAATGCCTCATACCTGTTGAGCTGTAACAACAGCTCTTTGGAAGAAAACCACTCTGACTGAGTTCAAATGGCCATACATTTTCACGGGTAAAAAGGATCCCACAAAAAATTTACTCAAAAAATACTCATGAACGTGCTCTTAAATCTAATGTAATGAATAGTAAAGCCGTCGGAGTAATTCAATACAAATAATGGTAACTGAATTGCTCCCTCATGCTCTCTCACCTTCAAGTGGAAGATTAATTGCTATTCTGAGTATCCAAAACGTGTGTATTAGAAATATTTATTTCATTGAAAAATTACCGAAAATTATCGAAGTTATCGTTTATTTTGTCGAATAATAATAATAATAATTATTAATATTATATGATTTGTAATCTATTTATTGTCTTCAACAAATATTGTAAAATTCTTTTAGTTCTGTAACCCCACCTCCATTATTTTTTATTTGGTTTCCATTCATTGAAATGAAGATTTTAGCTCCTTGAAGATCACATAATCTTTTGAACTGTTTTTTAAATCAAATAAATATAAAACAAAAACATGCATTGGATAAATGCCGAGATAGAGCCTTGCCTTGCTTCGGAACCTTGTTGCTTTTTCTACCCCTTCCCCAATGTGACATGTAGTTATGAATGGCTTCATTTCCTAAGCAGAAATTAATGAACGACCCAATGGTGGTTAACCTCTTCTCTACCCCATCCTCACCCCTTACTTACACACACTTACTCTTGCATGTACTACACTACCCCACATGTCGGGAAACCAGTCGGAAGCTTAGAGTGTGTCCCTGTTGGGGCGATGCCCCACTGGTGGGAGATGCCTAGATGGGAAAAACCACGCACGCCGACCTGTAGACAGGCGCAGGTTCTCGCCACCCTGTGAGGGAAGATCACCCCCACCTCCCGCGATAAATATGCACTACACTTTCGGACTAATGTCCGTAGCAGCTGTCGCGCCCGAAATCACTAATTGATCAATCAATTTACCCGGGACACTAGAGGGCACGATTCGTGGGCGCGCGTCAATCGGCCTCTCTGATCGCACTCCATGCTGTGATGAGCAGGCGTCGAGGCCCGTGAGAGATACACAAGGGATACTACGTCAATCGTCAAATTGGCGCAAAATTCCTTGGAAACGCGTACAATAGAGGTGGGTGGCCGTTTGAGACGAGATTTTCTGCCGATGTTCACGGTGATCAATAGCGCGATGCAACGTCTGTCTGATGGGCAGTAGCACGCGAACGTTCAGTGTGAAGTCAGTCGGTTAACAAAATCAATAAATAGGAGGAGGAGTACAACGATTTAGATATTTTAGGTGGGATATTTTCAGAATTCTCTCAGGATGTGAATGCTACAATACTTGCTATTTCATCATAAACATTGTTTTCTTTTCTTTTGATCAGCTAAGAAGTTCGTGATATAACTTTAATTTTCTCCCCTTTTCCTTTCAAAATAATCTCGTTCTTTCCATGCGTCGGTCCTCGTGTCCATAGCACGCTTACTTTCAGCTACATCTTTTTCGAAAAAGTCTAATTCTTTTTACTTTTCCTCGGAAACATTTACTTTTTATTTATTTTTCAATTACACCTCTTTCCCCATTATTTGCTTTAACTGTTGCCGTAGAGGATTTAAACCATCAGACTAATCTTAAAACATTACCACAACATCTGACACTTCAAATTAAATCGCTAATATCACGAAATTATCATGAACGGAGACATATCACTAGCAATCCCAACAAACAAACACCTTTGACAAGGGTATACTTGCTATTCAATAAAGAATATTTAAAACGCACGATTACACGGAGAGAAATGTTTAGTTCATACAATTAATCATGTAGTAGATTCAACTAAACGGTATAGTATATTTTGAAAATACAAAGTGCTTAGTCACGTTCACGACACTGCTGTTTAATTAAACACACTAATGCACGTATTGTAATATTCAGTAAACAGGTCGTACCCGTGACGAACGGCATCTTGTGGAGATAACTAATTGAATCGTTGCGTTGAATAAAACATTGAGTAATATTTACTAAACACATTGCAGTGAAAATAACTAAAGGAAACGTGAAAGGGGATAATTTCTTTCTAATCCTTCAGGCAGGTAGCAAATGGGGATTCGGAGCGGTCGCCCATCCTACAACTCCATGGACCTCATTAACCTCGATTACCTGGCAGACCCTAGCGGAGCAGAACAGTTATAAAGGCAGGCTGCCAACATTTGGCTACCGAAGGTATTTCTACCATTAGTTGAGAATATAACATACTAATTATTTAAAATCAATAAAATACTAAACACGCCATTTATATAACGTATAATTCTCTACAGAGCGTTGAATCACACTTCACATGGGATTTATAACCTTTCGAATTGGTCAGAAGGCTGAGAACGCGCGCTTACTAAACAGCGTTTAGTACTGTGACAACATGAAACGTAGATCTCACCAAATTATTTTATCTACGAAACAAGTATAGTACCTCTGACAATTATCTTGTTCATTCACTTACGATTTTGAATTGTCTTATTTACAAAAGAAACTAAATCATGTTTACTGAATCTTAGTAAGGAATAACAGTATTTATTACACGATCGCGTACTAAACATGTTTAGTACATTCTCCTACATTTCTCTCAGTGTAAGAGATGAAAAAGAAAGATGTAGGACACAATAAACATCAAATCCTAAAGCTTAATTAAAACGATGCAGACACCACGTGATCTTCACAAAAACAAGTTGAATTACAAAAAGCGGTTTTCCAATTATTCAAGAATGCAGACAAATACCGAATAAGAAATCAACAGCGAAACGAAACTGAATGAAAATTGTAAAGAAAGAACATGAGAAAGAACATTAGTGAATTGCAGCGAAAAAGTGCTGCTGAACAAAACAACACAAAATGGTTTTCAACAAAGATGCATGCACATCGTTCAAGAACAACAAGTAAAGTATTTTAACAATAACAGTCGTCACGAATTCTGCAAAATATATTATAT